GAGGAGTTTATAACCAGGATCATGAGCCAGCAGGCCGACAGGATATGACTCGATTTCAGAGTTGAGCGGATGACAGTTAGCTTCCTTTCTACACTTCAAAGTGTAAAGTGGTCCATCTGAGACATGTTTCGGATTACGCGAACAACTCAGGTAACTATTATCTAGAGGTTTATAGAGTAGAAAAAGATTTAGTAGTTTTTCCATCCTATATTCCAAACTCTTGTAATGAATGCGACAAAAAATACTCCCGGGAAAACCTCGTAATAGTAACGTTGAAGAGACTTTTTGACCAACTTGATAGCAAAACTTCACATTCAATCTTCAGTAGTTTTGTTTGGTTCCACTTAGAGCATGGAAGCATTCCTGAGCACCCCCTCGACCACTTACCTAAGTTCAGTTCCAACGGTAACCTTAAGGGCATATAACAGTTAAAAAGGACTACGCTATACGAATGATGAAATTCCGCCATTTCCTGAAAATTGAAACGGTTCGAGTGACTTCCCAGGAGTTCTTCGTGAAGAAACTTGTCAGTGTTTTAAGGACTCGGCAAAGTATTTTGCCATAATACTCTCCTCAATATGTTGAAACTTCCTAGGTTCCTACCTGAAGGCATAGGCGATACACTGATACTAGGTGAGGAAGTTTGTCAAATGAAAGCTTTTTCTATTATCTGCATAACCACTTGTACAATTTGCTCATGGGAGGATTAAAAGATCATCTGCTTGGCCTAAGAAACTAAATAGAGGTTGACAGTCAAATTAATAAGAATTTGGAAAGTGAGTGTCATTCACTGGTTCTTCTGAGTCTCATTGAATTTTAATAATCTTTACAAGGTCCCGTAATTATTTGATTGACTGTAGATCAAAATGGAGCATCTAGATTTTTCAACCCAGTATCCGAATTCCGCTTGTGTTTGCATAATCATCATTGGTACTATCATGATTGTTCTCGTCGTACATCTTTTATATTGCTACATATTTTCATACTTAATCTTCCAGTATTTCTAAATAAGGGATTTGAAGCTTTTTAATTCACCTATTTACACAAATTGGATTTTCAGACTCATTTTTATTTCCATTGTTTAAATATAATGACTCCTAAATACTGCATTTATTCTACTCTTAATAAAGGGCTTAATTGGATTATTCATAGCTGTTACTACGCAAAATCTTATTGTAATGCCAAGTCGTACTTTACATCTTATTAAATAAATTCATGTATTTTCGTCAAGACACTCAGACTTGTAGTGGTATTCGTTCCAAACCACAAGATCTTTGGAGCTGAGCATATAATTGCTGAGAAGATTTGCTTCTAACATGTAACGCTTAGAGAAGGTCAACGATGGTGAACGCGGGAGGTTTGGTAAGTAAATAAGGACTGGACACACATGGCATTGATCACCACCCAGTGATCAATCAATTGTGAAAATTCTCTTCATGCTCACTTTTATGTAACCACTTATATAATCTACTACAAATGCTTATTTTGCATCCTATTAGAAGTTGAGAACCAATTTTCGTGAGGCTTAGGACACATACAAAGCTCTGATAAGCAAGACCGCATTATCATTGAAGAAGAAACAGGTCCTGGATTCGCAAAAGGTTGCCATGAGATGAACTCAGAGAAATGATTGAGTCCCACAACTTCTGAATCAGTTAAACAAACTGAAATTCGAAAATAATGTTGTTGATAAAGCTAATACTTTACCATAATATTTCAGTGTTCTCCGCCGACGAAGGCGAAACGACAAACATCTATTCCAACAATAGTGCATCGTCTCGTGTCTATCGAGAACGAAGTTTATTTACGACTACCTCACGAGTACAGAGACCCTGACGATATCCATCTTCGAATCGTGGGAGCATCAACAAGTTTGATTGCCAGACCACTGCCAATACTGTAGATGTCTTTTGAGGAGTCGAAACTGCCAAGACATTGGGAGGAAGCATTAATGAGTCCGACTATGAAACTGGGTGTAAAGATTTGATCACTAACTATTGATCAGTCAGCGCGACTGGTGCTGTAGTCCTATTAGACTTGTGTTAGGACCGTTTCACGCTACTTGATTTTGAACGAGAATGGACTTGTAGCGTGGCGTCGAGTCCCAATTGACCACGAACACCGCTACCAAGGAACACGCGCCAAAGAAATCAGAAGGCGTAGGTTGAACGTAACCAGATTTATTTCGTTGGCGATCTCGTGGTATCGAACGAATAGCAAGATCGTGCCAAGAAATGGTACAAGCGGAAACAGGAAAGGGGAGTACGTGCGAACGAAGTTAAGAACCGCGGAATAATGATTCAAATGGTTCAAATGGTTGTGGACGGAATAGAAGAAGCTTTCGCTTAACAGGCTTCCGTGTCTAGTAGCAGGGGATCACCAAATCCTCCAGGCAGGAACCTAGGTATGTTAACAATAAAAGAGGAAAAGAAATTGGTAAATCATAGTGTGATGCTGTCCTTGGTTCTTAAGAATAGGTCAAGTTGCCTCTTGAAGGACTCCTGAGAAGTCGCTTGGACTAGCTCGGCCGGCAGCGAATTCCAGCTTTTGACAACTCTTAAAGAGTAGAAGTTGTGTCTACATTCCGTCTTGCTATGTTGTGTTTCCAGTTTCTGGGTGTTACCCCTTAGGTTATTATTCGAACTAAGCTTAAGTAGGTGTTTAAGAGGATGTCCAGAAGTGTTAAGAATACTATAAGCCATTAATAAATCACCTCTAAGACGCCTATATTCCAGTGGGTAAAGGTCTAGTGAACGGAGGCGTTCTTCGTAAGGCTTAGATTTGAGTCCTCGAACTGATTTCGTGGCTCGCCGTTGGATACGCTCCAAAGTGACCTTGTCCTTTTGGAGTGAGGGGGGGAGTACTATGTTTCCGTACTCTAAATGGGGACGGATGAAACTATTGAAGATTGTGTGGAAAGTTCTTCCGTCAAACTGGCCAAAAATGCGCCTCAACGTTACCAGTGCAAGGTTTGCTCGGAAGGCATTTTTGTCACAGTTAGCGTAAGACTTTAAACCATGGGGCACCAGGACTCCTAAATCTTTTTCGACTTGGGATACTACTAGAGAGGAGTTTCCTAAGTTGTAACTGTAGTTTGCGACATGTCGCAGATGGACTACTTTACACTTTGAAGTGTTAAAGGTAAGTCCGTTATCGTCTGCCCAACTTTGAAGTCGCGTCAGATCCTCCTGAAGTGCCTGTGTATCGTCTTGGTTGCGTATCTCTCTCCAAAGTTTCACGTCGTCGGCAAAAAGTAATAAGTCTGACGTTACCTGTTGAGGAAGATCATTTATGTAGATCAAGAAGAGAAGAGGCCCCAGTACTGAGCCCTGGGGGACCCCACTAGGACATTCCATAGCCTGAGATAAAGTGAAATTAACCCTAACCTTAAAGTGTCGATTTTTTAGGTATGAAGTAAGCCAGTCGATTAGAGGTGGTTTGATACCTAGTCGTTTGAGCTTGTTGATAAGACACAAGTGGTTAACCTTATCAAAAGCTTTTGAGAAATCAAGGTAAATGACATCAACCTTTCCCTTGCGATCGAGGATGCTTGTCCATCTGTCCACCGCAGTCAGCAGGTTGGTTATACAAGAGTAACCCTTCCTGAAACCATGCTGTTGGGGTGAGAAGAAATTTAAGGACAGTAGATAGTCGTTTAAACCGTCGCATATCAGGGACTCCATGAGTTTTGAAGGTAATGACAGAAGAGCCACCGGCCGATAACTTGAAGGTCCATTGCGTCGACCTCCTTTGAAAATTGGTGTGATGTGAGCCAACTTCCAATTTTCCGGTAATTTGCCTCGGCTTAGCGAGTGTGAAAACATCACGCTAAGCGGCGTTGCCAGGATTGAGGCTGCCTCCCTCAGTATGGCAGGATGAACCATATCCGGGCCAGGAGAAGTGTCAAGTCTTAAGTGCTGCAATTTCCGGAACACCAAGTCAGCGCTTAGGTCCACTTCAGAAAGTCCTGTGGAATTGCAGATGAAACTGTCGTCAATAAAGTTGATGTCAGCCGGTTGAAATGTTTGAGAGTAATGTGCCGCCAGAAGGTTAGCGGCGTCGCCATCATTGTTGGTCGGGCCGTTAAGACCTAGCAGTTGAGAAACTCCTGTTTTGGCTTGACGAAGAGAGGCTGCATAACGGAATAGGCTTCTAGGGTTAGAGGCGAATTTGTCCATAAGCTTTGTTTGGTACTGAAGCCTGTCTTCTCTTATAGCCTTCGTGCATATGTTCCTGATATGTTTATATTGCCTATACGCTCCATCGTTATTAGTTCGTTTGTATTCTGCCCAACAGTGCCTTTTGCGGCTTAGCAGGCGAAGGGTACGGTTCTTGATTACTGTAGGTGGCTTGCAGCTTTTGGGAACCGTTTGAGGAACTGAATGGTCTGTAGCACATAGGAGCGTGTGCAGTAAGAAGTCCCAATGACCATCCACATCGAGTTGAGGGTGAACATCCCAAACCACCTGTTGTAGATAGTCATGTAGAGCTGGCACATTCAGCCGTTTAAAATTCCAACGCAAAGTATTGTTGGGATACCTTAGCTTAGTTTTGATGACAAAACTGAAGGCTATGACGGCATGATCGCTCTTTCCCAGAGGAGCCTGGATTGGGAGGTTGTCGACTAGGAATTCTTCGTTAGTGAATACACAGTCTAAGCGCGATGGTGTCTGACTGTTTCTCCAACGAGTTGCCGACCTCACATTATCATATAAGCCCAAGTTATCGATGAGGTTGAAGAACCGAGCTTCAGTTGAGTTGTCGCCTCCAGTGTACGTGTGTTCCGCGAAGTTGACTCTAGGGAGATTAAAGTCCCCTAGAATCAGGATGTGTGTGAAACCGAGACGGATAGAGCGGGATAGTCCTTCCAGCATACGACTATCGTACTCGGTGTCGGCAGTTGGCTTCCTGTAAATGACTCCGACTAGACACCTGGAAGTACTAGACAATCTTACAGAGCACCATATGGATTCATCAAGATTGTTAAACTCCAGGTTGTGAACCTGGTGCACCTCCAAGCAAGAGCTTATGTATATGGCTACTCCGCCCCCAATTCCTATTTTTCTGTCGTTGCGGAACAAAGTCATCCCAGGTAATGCTAACTCTTGGTCCGAGAACTGAGAAGATATCCAGGTTTCAGATATTCCTATCAGATGGGCCTTATTAGCGTTGCTAAGTTCACGTAGTTCATCCAGTTTGTTTGGTAGACTCGCGGCGTTCATATATAAGCAGTTTATGCTTTCAATTTGGAACGCGTGAGCTTCGTCCTGTTTTTCTGTATGAACCTTATGTGAATGGACAGGTAGCCCACCTATATGAGGTTTGCCGAGGTGGTAGGCCCTGTCCTTTACACGTTTTTTTTATCGTTTAGACAGTCCACAAGTGGAATGGTCAGCTCCAACTTGCCTTTGTTCTTGGTCCTAACTTCGTATGGCCTATCCGGGTGCATGTGGATTCCAGGTGGCAATCGACGTCTATTAGCACGAAATGCTTCCAGAACTGCAGCCGCCATGTGGGAAGATGGGAAGGTTATCTTCATTAGACGGGGTCTAAGATCACCGTCCTTCTTGGCTAGTCTCGTCACATGCTGAGTCAGTATGTGTTTGAGCCTCAAGGACTGTTTGATGAATTTCCATTCCCTGATGTCAGAATTTGATTGAGTAGGGTCTGCATTTTCCGGTATACCTTGGACAATTATGTTTCTTCCGCGGAAAAACTTCTCGCGAGATTCTTTAGGGACGTTTCGTATGATATTGCGCTCAGAGTACGGTATGTCGGGCAATATTCTTACGTTACCATCTGATTTCAGTAAGTGACTTGCTAGCAAGACGTCCTCTACGTCGGTAGCATTCTTAAGTGTTACTCGGAGAAGCCTCGGGTGATTTAGATGCTTAGAATCCTTTCCTCGAGTGAGCCGGGTGACCGTCAAAGGCTCTATTCTAGGAAGTTCGAGCTTCTTGTTCAATTCACCCCACAGCATCCTGTCGTTTTTGTCCTGCAGACTGAGAGGAAGGTCAGGATTGTCAACGAGGTTCATGATAATGAGAGAATCGTCTCGAACTGTTGTTAATTTACCAGGTTTCACGATGGATTCAGGTTTAATAATTTGTTGTTTGGAGGTCGGTGTGCGTTTATGAATCTTGGGCTCTTTATTGACCGGACGAACAGTCTTGGGGGTAGACTGTGCGACTAAATCACCAGTTATTTTCCGTGCAGCAACACTTGGGTTGCTCGGCATAGGCGGTGATGCCTGGTTCTTTTGGGCTCTCTTAACGTGGGTCGAATCACCTGCAGGGTTTTTGGGAACCACTGTTGTGTTCAGGGACCCTGAGCTGGGAGACCCGAGTTTGCCTAGGGAGTCTAGTACCGTCGACGTAATGATGGTACTGAGCCTCAACACGTCGTCATTAGTGTTGATTTATTCACATTTATTTTTGGTACAACATAGAATTCTCAGCATAAAGTATTTCAACAAGTTTCCTTTTCTTATACCTTGATCGATTGTGACGATAAATTTTGAATGATGACCAGTTAGATGTTAGAAGTTCGGTAATCCACATTTGATTACTGTTCATTTGTTTCAATGCATATTGCCAGCAACCATGATGTCTCTGATTGTACCTTTTTGTATCCCGTATAGCGAAAGGCTGTAAACTTTTCATAAACGCGCCTGAATAGGTTGTGCGCACAATAGACATTGTGATGTGCTAAAACAAACAACAAAACAGATAACTTGATGAAATATCTAGATCGGTGGAACAGGTAGCGGATGCTCCATCGATGGTATACCTATCGACATCCCTATTTTTGAGTCCGTTGCACGCTCTTGTTTGTATATCGGTTTTTTTACTATCGTATTCCAAGTTAACTGACAGCTTGTTCCAAAGACCTGTCAGTAGGACAATGATGTTACTCAGCAAGACTACTGCGTCCGTGCTGCACGTGACAAATACCCACTTTTGGTCTGACTTGCTGAGTCTGTTGTAAGCAGTTGCTGTCAGATTTGTGCATGCTTCGTGGAACCAACTTTTGCAGTTGTCGCACTGCATGCCAGTTGTGACAGCAAAACGGCATCCCGGACGTTTGCACGAGTTTTTCATAACGGTGTTGAAGCAAACTATGTTATAGATGCTTGCAAGAGCCTAAGACCTTTTTAAAAAACACTAAAAAGCACACTAAAAACGGACAAAAATGGACAAAACGAGTGATATAAACTGAAACTAGTCTATACGTGAAAAACAAAAAAAACCGAATAGTATGCTGAGGCAAAACCACAGGTAACTATTAAATATAGTGAGACTCAAAAAAAAGTAATCTACCGAACGTATAGCTCAGGATAGATTCTTTAGAACTGAAATGGTACTTTTGTTGAGTAAGAACACAGCAAAAGTTTGATATATGCAAATCACGTTAGGACTAAACTTCCCGTTCGAAAAGCGCGTCAATAATGATGGAAGGTAATGGAAGCACAAAATGGCTGTAGTTAGCACAGTTAAACAAAAGCATGTTAAAACAAGTACTGGTATAGTTGGTTATAATAATGATTGTTTTCATTAAACCAGTCGTGTTCTCGTGATAAAAGTGAGTCACAACAGACTGATGACCGTGGTCAAACTAATGAAGAAGATTACTGGGGCTGTCATTTTTCATCGACTTGAAGGGGTATTAAATCTTCACAGTGATGAGAATCGGAAAGTTTAACACAAGTCACTTGATATGCCATTCTTATCTTCAATGACTGAGGGTTGAAACACCATAAAGCGCCAGATCCGACCTGTGCGTTGCGTCTAGTATTCGTAAGCGTAAAACATTATTCCGTTTCATATTCATACGTCAGATATAATAATGCATAATTCTTATTAAAATTACAGCAGTGCAATTTCTGTTTTTCAAACCATAATGGGATACTTGACATTGTTTTGATTGCTGGATTTGTAGTGAGATATTGAACCCTCATAACACTAAAATCTCATGCAAAAAGAATAGGTAAATGAAGTCAAACTTTTGGGAAATATGCGAGACACTGATTAAAAATTCTAATGTCGATTCTCTGATGTTGCCACCGAGATTCACTCTTTTCAACCAGGATGATGAGACAATAAGGTATTTCGCCTAAATATCCATTGTGTGGCGATCATTCGACTGATGTCGTAAGCGTAAAAATCCGACTTTGATAGTTTAATCGTGTTATACGAGTTTCATCCCAACGACTTTTGGGTCGTGCTTTACTTGTCGATAGTAAGACTGGTTGAAAAAGTAAAGTGATTTATTCATAACAGGACATCGGAGTATAAAAGAAGGCTGTAAGAGAGTGGCATCCGTCAAATCACCACGGCTTTCAGATCGAGGTCTTATACGCGGTCCAACTGGGTGGCTTCAAGCGGTGTCAGACATGGCTCAGAATAATAACCAGTGGCAGTTCTGGTGTAGTTCTTTAATAATTTTAAAATGAACTCACCTGACTGAACGAAATTTTTTTCGGCCGTATCTTTAAATGAACTATATCCTTCGTCAAATACTATTTTCGTTTATCCAATTATTGACTGAATGACTCACTTCGTTATTTCGTAATATTATCAGTTCATTTTTGTTGGACATCATTTTCGGTGCCCAAATTTATCAGAAAACACATATGCTATAAATAAGCAAGAAAAGTGGTGGAAGCTCACGTGTAAAGTATGGTTTACGGCTTTATACCTTTTCATGTTTACAGACCTCCAAAGTGATGTCCCTTGCGTTTCTCAATTGACGCTGTGTGAGACTATAATTTATGGACGAACCAATTATATTTACGATAACAGATCTTGGATTTCGACGCGAAATGCGACGACGTGTTTCTTTATTCTCTCGCGACCTTACGGAGCCGTTTGGCCGAACAGCACATAGACGACTGTTAACGGGGATCAATTCTAAAAGTGATTGTTCTCATACTTGGTGCTTTGCCTACACCTGTTAGTCTACAAGAACTTACCGTTGGGTTGCCAGAAAATTGGAGGGTTTACCGACGGCTTCCCGTTTCGGCTTGTTGAGGTCAAGTGGATGGTCATACTAGGATCCTGTATGTGTTTCAGAGACACAGCATACATCAATGGTACGAGATTCTAGGGTCTTAGCCAAGAAGGCCTGTTGTTCGACTTGAATTGGGGTGCGCACGTTGGAGGCTCCAAAGTATAGTTTAGAGTGAGGTGCTAGTTGACCTGGGGCAGTGTTTTGCGCATTAAACCGTTGGTTCTGGTGACACTTGAAGAGGAAGCCAAAAGGGGAATTTTAGTGTTGAAAGTCGATGTAAGAGAAATAATGGGAATTGATTGTGAATACAGTGATCTTGAGTGCTGTTAGAGGTATGAGAGCGGTTGCCACTTCCCAATCGCTCACACTGTGGAGGGGTCCTTCTAGAGATAAATGAAAAAAATGGGGTCGGAGTTGCTTTTAGTGACCCGAGAGCGTGTCCAAGGGACAACTGTTTGAAGCTGGTCACGCACGACCTTTTTGTGGGTGATTTTTGCGTTAGATTCGTACTTGTTGAGACCTTACCGCCGGAGACGGAAATCCGTGAGATAAAACGAGCTGTGCATTTCTAGGGTCGGGGTTTTCTAACCCCACCCTTTGTAGGAAGGCAGCATCGCTGTCATGCTGGTTACCTGAGGAAATACTCTTCTGCCGTCACACCTATGTACAGTCAGCAGTATAGCTTCTCCCTCGGAACTTGAATTTGCTGCTTCTGGTCTTACCGCACTTCAATCGATCTGCTCAACATAGTAGGACCTTGAGAGACGATTGTTCCAACCGGTAAGGCCCGATTGGTTCATCACGATAGGCGAACCCGACCACCACGTCAAGATAGCAGCAATGGTCGGGAGGTTACAGAATAAAAAACATCTTCGTTCATTGCAAAATATTTTGTTGAGACCTGTTTTAGAGGTCATGTCAAGTCAGCCTTTATAATGTTATACAAAAGTGTTCCAGTGCTAATGCTAAGATTGACTGTAGCCTTGACCATGCGAAAACTAAAACTCACTTCATGTGTTCAAAACAATATGTTCTTACTCTTAGCCTACCTTGGTAGTATTGATTTATGCAGTGCGGTTTTCATATTATGTTCTTTATTATTATCTTTGTCTTCGTTCACCTTCTAATTTGTCCAGCTGACCTTTTATTCTTTCATAGACAATGCTTTATTAAGTAGTGGGTGTTGTCAGATTGTTCGAAATGCATTTGGCAAGTACATCGCGTATTTCTGATGACCTTCGTCCTCATTTGTTTATCAAAAAGTAGTCTATTTTGTTGATTGATTTCCTTCTCCTTTCACAGTAACTGCGATTGAAAATTTGGGTTATTCATACCTATCTTAGAAATCATGGTGATTCCATTCTTTAGGTTAAATAATACATATGTTGTCTCATTGTTCTAGTAAAGTTATTTGTAATTTTTGGTGTCACTTGTATTTTTGGTACTAAGCAAACTTCTAACGCTGATTCATTTTGATACTATAATTACGTATGTATCTTACAGGTGGGTATTTTACTCACAGGACTTAAGTACAATACGTAACGTGCAGCAGGAAATATGCTTTCTGGAATTATCCTGTGCAGGAGAATGTTCAAATATGCTTCAACCATCCAAGTTAGTTTTTTAGAAACTTGAGTCATTAATTCAGGTCTGCAATAGACATGTAAGAGTTCAATGGTGGCCGACGTTGGAAAATCCATGGGTCGAAGACTCTTTGACTGATGATGATCTACTGAAGAGAAAACCAGTGGATTATGAGATTAGTCAAGTAGAATATGTATGGGTAGAAAAAATTTTGAAGAACACTAAAATCCCGTTTCCTAAAAATATTGTGGCTCCTACTCCTAGTGGCTGGATACCCCCAATCCGTATGCAAGCATTACTTTATTTTTAATGCTTTAACTTACTTCTTCTCACAAAACAGATTGCAACGAATTTCAAAGTCTAGATGATTATTTCCAAGTTCTTTTTGTCGTAGCAATAGTTTTTCGAATTATTTTTATTGCCTACTAAAGTCGAGTAATGGACATAAATTTACATAAATAAGTAGGCGGTATTACGTGTCAGTCAGTTAATAGGAAATGTTTTGCAAGGTTCATAATAACAGTTGAAACACCTAAAACAAAATAAATTCCATTTATTCATTGATAAGTTATTGATTATCAATTCTGTCGTATTGATGAAGTGTGAAAAGATACTACAAAATGATGTCTGTTAAAAATGACTACTCAGATTTCCACCAAGTGTAACAAAAGCCATCGTGATTTGCATTGTGCCTAAAATATGTTTACGTCTAGGTACCATCTAAAATCTTCAGACGTTGGAATATAGTTGTGAATCGGACTTTCCATGCTATATAATTCGGCCCATCCCCAATCGCAGTTCTTCAGTCCCACGATCGTTCATTCATAAACATAAGCTAGCTGTCTAAATCAATTTTGAGATTGCCAAAACCTAATAATGTTAATTGTTTTAAAGCTATACGCCCTCAAGAGTTGTCAGGAAACAATTGCACTGATACCATGTTAGATTACACTTGATCATATACATATTTAGTCTAGACATTAATTTTTGTGATGATTACTGGTATTTCACAGTTCCTTGAAATCGGGAAATATTATCGGGACTTACCAGCTTTTTATTTGAAACTACTTCATCCAAGTATTTTAACTTGAATAAACGTATGCTGTAAAAGTTCAGATATTTTCTGCTAGATGATGAGTCATCCGTACAGAATTCGTAGTAGCAACCACTTATCCTCCGCTCTATGATGTTGAGATTTAGATCAATCAATCAACTAATTTAATCTGATGACTGACATCAGCTAAGTGGGTCACAAGAGCCCGACTCCTTGATCGGTTATAGCAATACAAATAAGAAATGCAAATACTGGTGACTAAAACGTCTGTATTTGTGCGTAGTTTAGTGGACCTTCCGGACGTTGACAACACGCAATGCCTACTTTAGAGGCTTGAATGCATATGCACGCAATCCTGACTGACCATACTGTGTCATTCATTGATCCCCAGTAAGGCCTTCCGTTTGTGATAGCATCGAGGATTGGTAGTTCATGCTAGCATCCGTTGGTTCATCTGGATCCTTCAAATGAAGCCATATGGATCCTACAGTTCATTGGCGAGCCAATATCAAACATGAAGCAAAATCGTATTCCCGTTTATAAGGATTACTTCGAAAAAAAATCAACCTAAACATGATCGTGCTTTCATTTAAACCGTATCATCTAACAACTTTATCACCCGATTTACCACTTCCTGACAGAAATATCATTTTGTTTTATGTAAAGCACATCATAGTTTTTTTATCAATCATCTTGTAGGAAGTATATGCGATAAACGCTAAATGGTATAAATTTTAGGATTGATATTGTTTTTTCCTCCATTATATTTTATTGGTAAATATTGTACACTTCCTCTTATGCTTTTTTCTGCTAGCTGAACTATCAAAGGATGTACCCTATTCTGTCCGAAGGTCGAAAAATCACATGCTACCTGTTTATTACACAGAGAAACAGAGAAAGAAAAAAGAGCATACACATGGGACTCGACAGCTGACAGTCATTAGGCATGTTGATGGAGATATGCAAGTAAGTTACGCCTACATTCCAAAGTAATAAAAGTAGAGTTCAATAAATACATGAGTTATTGTAAAATGCTTATTATGCACTATACTCTCTATTTGACCAAGTGGTAAACTTATAAATTACAAACGACTATCAACCTATAACCTTAGGGTAGGATTTTATTCTGTAGACTGCAGGCATTATGGCATTGCAGTCTCACCTATCTTAAAATTCTCATCGATGCTGATGGGCTGGTGTCTGATGAAATCTCGGTGCAGATTCAAAAGCCTCGATTGACTTTTGCTAACTTTTGGCGTCGGTGTGACATCCGTCTACCAAACAGAGGATGAGTTTATTGCTTATCAGTTCGTTCTGTTCTACGTCATTGGTGTGGAACACTGTCACTAAGCGGATACTCGTAGTTTGCCAGTATATGACCTTCGAAGCATCGTTTGTGTGTTTTTGGACAACTGAGTGAATAATACCGAGATGGGAAATTGGTTGATGTGGTGAATATTTATCTACGGAGGTAGTTGGAACATGTGCCCAACCAATGTCTATCTCTATGGGCGACGTTGTTTAGTATAAGGGTAGGTTGGGAGGAACGCAGGGTAGCACCATTCCATGAAGTCGTTGGCGTATGGACTCAGCAGTATCTGCTTCGGTCTGGGCACCCGGGTAGTATCATAGCCCTCACACAATTAAAATGAAATGACAGTGGACTCAGCCATGTTAGTAGGTGTAAACCACTTGGTTGGGGTCTGTGTGGTTGTGGTAACCAATGGATAAAGATTTTAGGTGACTACTCAGAATCGTTTGCAATGCGCAAATGCCTTCACTCCCTTTTTTCTTGAAACCCCCTTATGACTTTCTCGATACCCAATCTTTTCTACCACTACTCCTGGATTTGTCTTGAAATAATCTTATCTCGCTGTGCTAACAGAATATGACAACTTGAACCGATGACCATATGTGTAAGGTTATACATTGAGTATGACTAAGGTATTTCACATTTTCTTATTAAATAAAATGAATATTTTACAGCACGTTTTTAAGAGGAATTAACCTCAAAAAATATATACGAATTCTCCAGCATACTAAACATTACAAGCGCTTTACGAAAATTGGTCTAATTTACTTGCGTTTTTGTTATCACAAGGACATCTACTTGCATACTTCTTAAATTATAGATAATAAAAAACTACGGTATCTTTACATTAACTCAGGACAACATAAATTAGCTCAGGTTTTGCCACAGATACCTAATATCACATTACATAGTTAAAATAAGTTGTATGAATTCCTTAGCATCCAATCGTTTTAAGAAAAAACGGTTTTTGAAGTAAATCAATAAGTCAACCCATTTACTATAAACGTAATAAATCATTTATTCAGTGGTAAGCTTAGGGAATCGAAGTGGATTCTTTCTTTTGTTTACATGTTTATGAAAGAATGACAACCATTTTTTACAATATTACAGGCTCTGGCTGATGATCTCCGGACGCTTCTTCAACCGAAATGCGAAGCTGGGTTGTTTCTTTGCCAAGTAGATGAAGTAACACGTTGTATAAAAATTGAAGGGTTATTTCAAGAAGAGGTAGCTAAATTTCTTCTTAGTAAGGGGTTTTGAGAGTTGTACAAAAGTAATCATGTATATACTAAATAAACAATGTTCTAGCTATACAAAATTTTATTCTATGACAGCTTCATCCCACGGTCCATGGATAGTCCTGTTAGGAAGAAACAAAATCGAAAATTTGTGAGGGATTGTGATCACACAATATTAAATTTTTTTTCAGGGTCTATATCGTTTATTGTGCTCGTGTCAGTGCAGTTTTTAATGGAGCACTTATGTTAAACAGCAGCTTGTTTATATAAACAAACCGACCCTAAACACACACAAGCATCATTGTGGAAACTAATGGTACTAGAATCATAATGTACACAATAAAGGTCTTAAACATCTACAATGACGTGACATTTTCTACAAAAGACTACTAAGTTTCTATTCAACCGATGTCAAATGATAGATTGTTTGCAACTGGTGCAGGATCATATGATAAAAAAATTCGTGTTTTGACATGGAAAGTCTCTAGAAGATTAAAATACTGAATTTTGCAACGGCTTAACAAGTTATGAGTATTTAGAACTTGTAAGAAAAATAAGTTACAATGAAAATGCAACTTGGAATTCGACATTTGATTGACTCACAAACCTTTTAATTTTTTGCATTCTTAATAAGTAGCACGGTCCAACAAAATTAATACACAGAGTAGATGTTATGAGTGCGCAAAGGAAGATGCATCTATATTCGAATGATACTTCACTGTAAACTATCGGCCAAGCACTCAGAAGAATTGTAGAACCAGATAATGTGGTTAAGCATATTTGTGCTCCATCACCTCCATTATTCTGAAATGCGAATAAAAGTCAATAACAATATAAAAGTATTTTGGAGAACGTCTTTTTGTGCTACCTTTATGTATTTTGTAAATTAATTAGCTTCAGTGAATTAGAAACTACATTTAGGTTGGTGTCACATGAATTATGGAATAAATGTATGTAATTGATTGCCCTGTATACTGTTTTTTTGCATAATAAATGACGTCTTTTGAGACATGAAATTGATTTGCCTAATATTGAGTTGAGTAACTGTGAGGATGACCCATGGGTGAACTCGAGGAAGCTCAGAAAGCGCCGAAGACATTCCATCCAGTCATCCTTTGGAAGAACATTCCAGGATTTCTGCGTGTACCTTCCCTATTAGACAAATAATAAAAACCACTGTTCACTGATTGGATAACTATAATGATGATTTCGCCTTCACTAAAAACTACAAATACCTGAAAGTTTTGTACTATATTTGACACTTTGGAATAGCATTCTTCTCACTCGTCTTTTCATTTGCAGCTTGGAGGGTTCTAGCGTTCGAGTGCTCAAGTTGTACGTGGTATATCAAAGAATCTAAGTTCTAGACATAATAGTATCCAAACTTTTAACAATGTTAGTCAAACACTTCGATTATTTTCATTTTAGTATTTGTGGTATGAGTAATTCTTCGTCTACCACGTCGTACCTGTTGTTAAGCAGAATTATTGAAACAGGACGATTAAGTGGCTTTCTCAATCTAGGATTTATAGTCTTCTTACATGTCAGCGCTAAGAAACTTATTCTACTGCAGTATGAACAAATTTGTACAGATTTTCTAATACTTAAACGATGTACACAATTTGCTTCACATAAAAACGCGTGAGACAACGTTTTGGACCTTCACTGTTTTGATTCGGTTATGCAACTGTCTATTGTACTATACGTATTAATATTTGTACACAAACTTCATTAAGTTAAACTAAAACTACAGCTCTAACTAAACTCACTACACGAAAAATGCTCTTAAATTCTCCTAATTTACTGGATTTTGAAAACATTGAAAGCTGTGTCCCTACACTGGGATGTGTCGAAATTATTTTTGATAGACTATACAACAAAACCATTAGCAACTCTTACAATCAATCTCGATTATGGTTAATTTTGTTTAAGCCCTTTTATTAACTCAATAGACAATGGTATTCGAACAGTGACAATTCGCATATTTCTTTCTACTATTATGATCACTATCTTATCTGTATAAACGTGTATGCTTGATCACATGACAGCCTACACACATATCTCTTTCTAGCTTAAATGTTGATCGCTTACATATCACTCGATGATTCGTTCTCTTTCCTCATGTATATATGTACTCAAATCATATTATTAGCCTTCACCTTACCTAGCTGCGCCCTATTAGATTTGACTATAAATTTGCCTATGTATTTGCTCGCATACACAAATTCGCCTCTCTGCTTCAAATTCGCTCAATGTGCTTATAGGTTTGTGATCCGTGCTATCCGCTAATAAATTGTAGTTGCCGCTTCTCATTGCCTTCTGATTTCAAACACCGTTGGGATCTATATAATAACAGTTGCATAGGTGATTGATAAACGAGGCAAAGTCACTACAACCATACTTACCGATCCCATACAACTGTAATTCTTGGTTTGAAAATTGGGATTCACTATGTCAAATAGGAAACCTTATGGGATTCTGAGGATGCGTACCTTGCTACTAAAGACGCTTCAGTCATGATCACACAGATGAATAGATGCTTTTATAAAACACATTGGGGCCTACAGACATAATTCTACAAGACTATCGTGAAAAATATGGCTTTCCGAATATCGGGGTAAGATGTGAAAATATTAACTATGGCGTTAGCAATTGAGTAATGCTACATTTACATTATCCACCACTTTGCGCTGATGCCAGTTTTAGAGTGGAGAATGAAGTGGACGAATTTATGAACCAGTTATAGCAGACTTATTGTGCGCGAAATCTGCATACAGAGACCTTTGGTGTTCACTAACATACCGTAGTTGTGCTACCCGCTAGATATTCTCTTGCTAATGAAAGGAAAATTATACTGTCCAGTGACTGGCTGTGCTCTGTTCTATGAATACGAAGCGCAGCGTTTAAGGGCAAAAATAATTAAGCGTATACTGCCTATTTGATTAAAAGGTTTCTTTGGAGGACCAATCGTGTGGTGGGTCTACTGGATAAAATTATTTAATTTAATAATAAAATTCCGGATAAATCGTTCAGTCGTTTGGTACCGACTGCAGTGAACGAATCATGTGTTAGTATGACATTCTGGAAGTCTAAAAAAGGGAGTAACAAGATTAGGAAGTGATGACTAAGGATGGTCAAATAAGGCTAAGAGATATTAGCCCACCAAATCGGTTATTAGTTTTATTCGTTTACACAAGTGTAAACACTAGATGTTTCAGACCATAGGAATTGTTGATGCAAAATTTTAAAAAATATAGGTTAAAATTATCAGCAGAGTTAGATGGTAGTCAGCAGTGCAATCTAGAGCGTGTTTCTCCACACTTGGAGCTCGTCAGTTGGATGTACCTGCATCAGAGTTGATGTTCACCTCGGGACTTGAACCCAGCACAATTCACTTCAAACGCCACCGCATTATCCATCTAGATGCCTTGTAAATCTGCTTATAATGCTTATGACTCAACGGCAATATTGAGGTGAACCGGACATATGCCAGAACAGACTGATCGGTTACCCTAAAGTTTATTTACCTGTGAAATCAATAATAGAAGTAATTTGGATTAGTCTATGCTGTCCAATGCTCCACACACAGTTTCATCTGCTTAACCTATCAACATTTGCATTGAAATGAAAAACATTGAAAATACACAATATAAACAGTAGCAATCATTTGAAGCAAGGGTAACTGTACTTACGCGAAACCTTCTTGTTAATGCTGGCCATAATGCTAGTAAAGTGACGGCAGTGGAAAGCAATGCGAAAGTATGATAAGGGTCAGGTAAACGACTAGCCAAGCAGAGAGCAGCTAACAAAGCAGAACTCAGAGAAATAGTATTCGACCCAGGCTTTCGAGGATGACCTTTCCAATGAGTCTTATAATCAAAACATGTCCAATACACAAGAAGAAAAAAAGTACACATGGCGTATATAGAGTCCGTGCTTACGCTCGATAGGAGAGAGTGCAGAACAGGAGCAAGCAGAAAGCAAAATGTAAAAAATACCATGCCCGACTTGATTTCAGGTATGACTGAAAATAAAAATCATAAGTGATATATAACAACAGAAGGAAACTTTAGTACTCATATACGAAAGTATCAAGTGTAGTGATGATACTGTTAGGTTAGCAGTAAGGATATATCTCGAAATATCCTATGATTCACATCAGCTGTCTACTTAGATTAGACAATTGTTGACGCAAAAGCAGAGGAAATCGGTAAACTTCACTGAGTCACTTTTACGTGTAGTCGACTCTTTTGCATAACCAAGTAGAATTTCAAAAGATCATGTATAATGTTTAGCATTATAGTCCAATATGTCTATTTTCAATTTAAAAGCTGAGATAATGCCGAAGATTTGACCTAATAACTACCTTAATCGAGTGATGTACAAAGTGGTTCCGTTCAATTACCTGTGAAATTTTATTTATTTAATATTGATATCTCATATGTATGGATATCGACTTACTATGCAAATGGCCTACTCATTTGCATAGTGGTATTATCTTTGATCTTAAATTAATCAGGGACTTATGTCAATAACTCAATCTTGTGAGCAGCCATCACTCACCCATGTCATATATTGCTCATTAACTATCAGTCAAGATTCTTTTCCGTCAACTGACAATCGATGACTTATTGGTCAGATCACTGAAGACCTTCTAGATAAAAGAGTGTACTCAGACTTGCAGATTGCTTTTGTGTTCATAACTAGATATTTGCTCATCTTTCCACAGGTAGGCTACTTGTCACTCAGTAAATTAAACGCTAAAAGCTGAACAGATTTCTGACTTGTAATCATATGTAGATCATCTGCTATTATTATCTATTACATTAATATTCCCTTATCAACAGGAAGTTTATGTACAAACTAAGGTCACAAGGGGGAGAAATGTCGGATTGTTAGTCCCAATTGAACTTAACCCCCAAAATATTATAGATATTGAAGCACCAAGAATGTAGTGTTTCTCATCACCATGAACTGTTTAAGCCTTATTAAAAAGCTACAATATTCCAGAGTAACATGTGGGTAATTAGTTAAATTCTAATTTGTCTTACAGTTTATAAGTATTTATTCATAAAACCTTAATATATAAAATCGAACTTACGTGAAGCTTATAGTTACCTTTATGAAATTGTCTTTCATTTTCCTCTTTCATTGACCAAAACAAGGCATATCCAATAGTTATAAAGAAGAAAAGGTAAAGATTGAGATACTGTGGAGAAATCCAGCCGAACAGTAGATAAAAGTAGATAATTACAAACAAAGACAAACTGTACTAAAGTAGAGATGAATAGAACATACCAACAGAGTTGTTGATAAATGCTGCCAGCAGCGATTATAACATCACGTGCTCGAAGTTTGGGTAGAAATACTATTTCTTGATAACCAGATAAATTAATTGCAACTAACGGTTTTCTTTTAATTCAGACAAGAAATCTGAATCTACATAATTATCAGGTAGACCACGATTGTTGTATAGACAGTAGTTCCACTTTTTTGTGGGAGGAGCGTCCTCAAACATAGCTGTTTACTCACCAATCTTCGCACACCAGAAAATCACTAACCGATACATGTATTTTAACTACTCGGAGAATGCTAGAAGTGGAGTGGAAAGTATTTAAACTATAAAATTAGGTTTACGAATAAAACCAATTTATAAGATTAAAACAACCGCATAAAGAACGTAATATCTGTAAACATGAAAAGGTATAAAGCCGTAAACCATACTTTACACGTGAGCTTCCACCACTTTTCTTGCTTATTTATAGCATATGTGTTTTCTGATAAATTTGGGCACCGAAAATGATGTCCAACAAAAATGAACTGATAATATTACGAAATAACGAAGTGAGTCATTCAGTCAATAATTGGATAAACGAAAATAGTATTTGACGAAGGATATAGTTCATTTAAAGATACGGCCGAAAAAAATTTCGTTCAGTCAGGTGAGTTCATTTTAAAATTATTAAAGAACTACACCAGAACTGCCACTGGTTATTATTCTGAGCCATGTCTGACACCGCTTGAAGCCACCCAGTTGGACCGCGTATAAGACCTCGATCTGAAAGCCGTGGTGATTTGACGGATGCCACTCTCTTACAGCCTTCTTTTATACTCCGATGTCCTGTTATGAATAAATCACTTTACTTTTTCAACCAGTCTTACTATCGACAAGTAAAGCACGACCCAAAAGTCGTTGGGATGAAACTCGTATAACACGATTAAACTATCAAAGTCGGATTTTTACGCTTACGACATCAGTCGAATGATCGCCACACAATGGATATTTAGGCGAAATACCGGCGAGACTCTAATTTAGCGACGAGCCAATCAGAAGCGTTTGAGCAATCTCAAGGTCACGGAGCCAAGTTCAACACGCGATGCTAACATACGGTCGGTTCACAGCGGATTTTAGAGAGGAGGTGATTAATGAGAGGTTAAAACAGATGGAACGGCGAAACTCTAATTTAGGGACGAGCCAGTGAGAAGCGTTTGAGCAATTTCAATTATTAGCCAATCAGAAGACAGTATAAAGTAAAAATATATTACAAGAAAGTAATGAATTACAGTGGATATTCTTCTTTTACATGAGTTAAAAACTGGTTGAGGTTTGATAAAGGCTCAGAAGTTCTGAATTCATAATGCATATTGTATAGAAACTCGTCCATAGGGTTAGGGGTTAAGGTTAGGGTTAGATTAGGGTTTAGGGCTAAGGTTAGGGTTTTGGGGTTAGATTAGGGTTTGGGGTTAGGTTAAGGTTAGGGTTTAGGGTTAGATTAGGGTTTAGGGTTAGGTTAAGGTTTATGGTTAGGGTTAGATTAGGGTTTAGGGCTAAGGTTAGTGTTTAGGGTTAGATTAGGGTTTAGGGTTAGGGTTAGATTAGGGTTAGGTTAGGTTAGGTTAGGTTAGGGTTAGATTAGGGTTTAGGGCTAAGGTTAGTGTTTAGGGTTAGATTAAGGTTAGGTTAAGGTTAGATTAGGGTTTAGGGTTAGGTTAAGGTTAGGGTTTATGGTTAGGGTTAGATTAGGGTTTAGGGTTAAGGTTAGGGTTAGGTTAAGGTTTGGGTTAGGGTTAGATTAGGGTGCTAACATGCGATCGGTTTACATCGGATTTTAGAGATGAGATGTCTATTGACAGGCTACAACCCTAACCAATAACGCTATGGACGAGTTTCTATACAATATGCATTATGAATTGAGAGGCTCTGAACCTTCATCAAACCTTAGCAAGTTTTTAAATCATGTAAAAGAAGAATATCCACTGTAATTCGTTACTTACTTACAATATATTCTCACTTTGTACTAGCTGTCTTCTGATTGGCTAATAATTGTCAAGGTCATTTAAGATTCGTTCAAAGGTCGTCGCTAAATTAGAGTCTCGCCGAAATACCTTATTGTCTCATCATCCTGGTTGAAAAGAGTGAATCTCGGTGGCAACATCAGAGAATCGACATTAGAATTTTTAATCAGTGTCTCGCATATTTCCCAAAAGTTTGACTTCATTTACCTATTCTTTTTGCATGAGATTTTAGTGTTATGAGGGTTCAATATCTCACTACAAATCCAGCAATCAAAACAATGTCAAGTATCCCATTATGGTTTGAAAAACAGAAATTGCACTGCTGTAATTTTAATAAGAATTATGCATTATTATATCTGACGTATGAATATGAAACGGAATAATGTTTTACGCTTACGAATACTAGACGCAACGCACAGGTCGGATCTGGCGCTTTATGGTGTTTCAACCCTCAGTCATTCAGTCTTCAGTAATAAGGATAGTAGGTTGATGAACCTGTGTTAATCCTGACAAATTGCTTTCCAGTGAAGGTCCAGCTTTTCCTTGAAAGTATTCACTGATGAGGCTGATACCACTTGTTCGGGTAAGGCGTTCCAATGATTAACTACTCGATGAGAAAAACGGAACCCCACTTTAAGTTTATTAGATCGTGGTTTATGAACCTTCTTGCTATGACCTCGGAGATTATTAGTGCTGGAGGGAGCAAAAAGATGAGACATATTAACACCCAAATCATAATTGAAGATACGAAATGCCAGTATAAGGTCACCTCGTGTCCTACGATACGACAAGGGGAAAAGATTTAGGCGTTTTAAGCGCTCATCGTAAGGGAGTCTAGAAAGACCCTTCACTAATTTCGTTCCCACACGCTGGACACGCTCAAGGGAGTTAGTATCCTTTACTAGACACGGGCTAGCTGCTTGGATACAGTACTCTAAATGTGGTCTAACATATATGGGATATAAAATTCGAAACGTTTCCTCGTCAAAAGATTTGAACGCTCGGCGAAGTGACCATAACGCACGAAAACTTTTGACAGCGGCTGCTTTGCAATGCGCAGTTGTTTTTAAGTCATGACTTAATATTACTCCTAAGTCCTTATGCTCTTGAACGCATGGAAGAGGTTTACCCTCAATAGTGTAACGGTAACTATTACCGTGACCGACGTGCATTACTACACTCTTCCTAGCATTGATTTCTAAGCCCCACTCTCGAGCCCATCTAACTAAATCGTCTAAGTCAGCTTGAAGATCCAGATGATCATCCGCACTTTTTATTGTTCTCCAGATTTTTACATCATCCGCAAACAATAATGTCGACGACCTAAGTAACAGCGGTAACTCATTAACGTAGAGAAGGAAGAGCAGAGGGCCTAAGATTGTGCCTTGGGGCACACCACTTTTGACCGACTTCCAATCGGATAGCGTTCCGTTAACCCTCACTCTCTGTCTGCGGTCACATAAGAAATTTCCTATCCACTTATGTACAGTACCTATTATTCCGAAACTCGTGAGCTTCTGCATAAGAACTACGTGTAAAACTTTGTCAAATGCTTTGCTAAAATCTATGAATATCACATCGACAGACAGACCGTGATCTAGGGCTGCTGTCCAATCCTCCCTTGCAATAAGCAAGTTAGTCAAGCATGACCGCTTGTTACGAAATCCGTGTTCCTCAGGAACTAACATATTGTGCAAATCTATGTGGCTTAGCAACCTAACCCGAATTATCTTTTCAAGTAACTTAACGACTATGCTAGTTAGACTGACAGGCCGGTAGTTAGATATTATCTGTCGCTGACCGTCCTTAAATATAGGACTAACTATAGCGTCCTTCCAATCTCTAGGGAGTTGAACGAGTGAGAGGGACATGTTGAAAAGTTTCGCGAGCGGTTTTGAAATAATGTCCGCAAGAGATGACAGCAACCGTGGATGTAACCCGTCAGAGCCCGGTATCTTACCAGGTTTGAGGTTAGTTATCAACTGAAGGATAGTTTCCTCAGTCACCTGTACAGATTCAATGGTTGGTATCTCGGTGTGAGTGGGACAAGTATTTGTTACAATAAACGTAGAGAAGACTTCTCTAAAATAGTCTGAAAAAGTCTCAGCTTCTGCTCAATCTGATTTAGCTAGTAATTCTGAATTTTCGTGTAACATTAACGGGGGAATACCATCACTATGTTTCATTCGTTGTTTAACATACGAAAACAATCGTTTCGGACAAGTACGGCTATCATATACTAACTGTCGTTCGTAAGTGGTACTGGATTTTGCTATGGTTTTCTTACAGATATTATGGTATTTTTGGTACTCACGCTTAAATGGTGCATGACCTGTCAACAAGAATAAGTTCCAGAAATGTTTCCTACGCTTTAACAGCTTCCGGGTTTCCTTATTAATCCATAGAGGGCAATGTAATAACTTACGTGCTGACCATGGGATAAACGACGACGTTACGGACTCGAATGTGGCCTTAAACTTATTCCATTCATCTTCTATCAATCCATCCGAGTCGAACGATCAATCAGCCGAGATAGCACAGTTTCTGATTTCCGGAATATTAGCTCGCCAGATAGTGGGACGGGGTGGAGCAGATAGAAATCGTATACCATGTGTTCTAAACTTGAAGTGAATTACAACGTGATCACTGTTCACTAGTGGATGAAGGCGCTGGATATCAAAGACATCCTTACAGTGGTGGGTGAGGACGAGGTCCAGCAGTAACGGATCATGTTGGAAATCAATATGTGTCGGTTTTGTGATACATTGTAAAAGTGCACACTGAATAACGGTAGATAAAAGGTCGCTATCGAAACCACTACCTGGAGCTGTAAGCTCTATCCAGTTGATATGCGGTGCGTTGAAGTCCCCAATGATGAGACAACATTCTGCCATACTCCAAGAACAGATGTGTCTTAGGATAAAGTCGTCAGCAAGACAAAACGGACTACGGTATATTCCCCCTATAGTCACTAACCCACTTCTAGATTTAATCTTACAACATGCAACCTCACATGTGCCACTGATATGAGCCTCCTATATGGTTGATTGTATACGAAAGTGATCCCTAACGTATAATATTATACCTCCCCCCTTGCGACTTGAAACTCTATCACTTCTGATACAGATATAACCAGCAATGAAAGGAGAACAGTCTATATCAACGGTGAACCAAGTTTCTGTAACAACGATTATATCGGGACATAATTCTTGCACCATCAGACTTAGCTCGGACGTTTTATTTCTAAGACTACGAGCGTTCGTGTAGCACACACTTAAGGTGTTTTGGAGATCAATCGTTCTACCCATACAGGCCTCGGAAGCATTGGCTTCCAAGACCTGACTACCCGAAAACCCTTAATGGTAAGGTTATTTTCGCCATTTAATTTGCGAGTCCTCAACTCCGTAAGAGCATTCTTCCACTTGATTCGATCCTCAAGCGGCCAATCTGGTCGAATACGGATATTTGAGGCACGAGTTTTTAGTGCGCTTTTCAATAATATGTCTCTTTCTCCGAAACTCCCGAGAACCATCTTCAGGATTCTTCTTGGTTGGGTCTCGCCTCCAACCCATTTACCAAGTCGTATTACTTTTGTAATATGTACCCCTGAAACCTCTTCAGGTAGTACATTCCTCACCACAGACTCCACTAACTGCAGGTCATGTGCGTGTCTTTTAGCAGGGTCGTTGTCTTTCGACTCCTCTAGATTCCAAATAATTAAACTAGGGATGGGTTTAGCTTCTTTTGAAACTGTGTTCACAGCTTTCGACCGTGACGTTAGATCCTGTATTTTAACTACTGGTAGCTTACGATTAGTTTTTATTTTAACAGAGTCCTGGGAGTCAAGCGAATGACTAACAACAATGTCAGACGAAGCTTTACTATGAGACTTTGGCGGATCGGTCTGAGAGTCCACCAAGGACTTACCAAGTAAACAGTCATTAGTTTTAGCTATCTTTCCTACTCTTCTGCGTTTTCGCGTCATCCATTTTCCATCAGTCGAAACGTCTACATTAGAACAACTCGGGACAGTAATTGTTTTATCTGGGTCACCGGTTGCTGCTGTAGCAATATGGCCACCAACGTCTAATGACGTGTCACTCACTGATCGTTTCGGGGGAGAACGTTTAACTGCGGGTTGCACAGGTAGATGTCTAGCTTGCGCCGTGATAGCACTTACGACACTAACGCAATCTTCGCCATCCGTACCAATGTTATCAGTACAGCCCTCATCAACCTTCTTATTAGCCAACACCAGGAGACTAATTGCTTCCTGGATAAGCAATGTTTTGCTCGAGCAACAAAAACTACAAAGCCAATGAGAGTTGGGCTTTGAGCACCTTTTATATGCAGTGGGGTTTAATCGGGTGCACATCTTATGGAACCACTTATTACACTCATCACATTGCATCCCTTCATCCACGGGAAATAAGCAGTATGGTTGTCCACATTTATGAGTAGACCTAGCCATCTTGAAAATCAACTAGAACGGTGACAAAAACAGGATATGTAAAAGGATTTTCAAACCTTAACTAAATAAACCAAGTAAAAGTCGACCAAGTATGCTTCGATGCAATAAATACACAGAAGCAAAATCGAAAAACTCAATAAAATATCACTTTAACTGGGGTAGATGCAATTAAAGTGTAAATAGTAGTTTCGATGCGTAATTTACGATCAAAACAGTTAATTAACTCAACGAGAAAGAATACCACTGTCCTTTTAAATAGAGCGCGCCACCAACCATTAAAGATAAGAATGGCATATCAAGTGACTTGTGTTAAACTTTCCGATTCTCATCACTGTGAAGATTTAATACCCCTTCAAGTCGATGAAAAATGACAGCCCCAGTAATCTTCTTCATTAGTTTGACCACGGTCATCAGTCTGTTGTGACTCACTTTTATCACGAGAACACGACTGGTTTAATGAAAACAATCATTATTATAACCAACTATACCAGTACTTGTTTTAACGTGCTTTTGTTTAACTGTGCTAACTACAGCCATTTTGTGCTTCCATTACCTTCCATCATTATTCCGCGGTTCTTAGCTTCGTTCGCACGTACTCCCCTTTCCTGTTTCCGCTTGTACCATTTCTTGGCACGATCTTGCTATTCGTTCGATACCACGAGATCGCCAACGAAATAAATCTGGTTACGTTCAACCTACGCCTTCTGATTTCTTTGGCGCGTGTTCCTTGGTAGCGGTGTTCGTGGTCAATTGGGACTCGACGCCACGCTACAACTGGTGAGCCAAATTTTGGAACACGCTCCAAACTCTGGTCTAAGCTTCCAAAGAAGTCAATTCGGCGAGTCTGTAGTTTATCTATCCACGTCTGTCGTATATTTTCATATTATCTTTTGATATATAATATACTCGACATGACGGATAGCGACAAGAATTGTATTAATGTCATAGACTCAGACGTACA